CCCCCAAGTGCCCTGTACCTGTCCCCGATGAACAGCGTCCTGTTGACCCGCAGCACGCGCTGGATGTTGAGGTCTTCGGTGTCCTCCGCGGGGCTSGGGCGCCCAGGGCCCCCGCCCACGAACACGGGGTAGTGGCTCAGGTCTAGGGAGAGGTGGGACGGGGTCACGCCCCTTCTAGACTGGCTCCCGACTGGGGGCCGCCCCTCCTGGRAGGGCCAGGGGACCCCATTTGGAAGCAAGAGCCTCGGTCAGGACTCGACCGCCCCCAAGGTCCCTTCCCACTCACAGTCCCTGGGGGCCACGCTGAGCGGAGGCGGTTCCTCGGGGAAGAGGCCCTGGGAGTCCCCCAGTAGCAGCAGCAAGAGCATCAGGGCCGGGCCGGGAGGAGGCGCCCCCGCGGTCCGCATGGCGAGCGCCAGGTGGCGGGAGGTGACACCTGCGGGCGAGGACCCGGCGGTGAGCGGCGCGGCCTGCAGTCCCGCCCGTGGCCGGCAGAGGGCGCGCGAGCCTCCACCCCGCTGCAGGCCCGGAAACCCCCGCGGGGGTGGGAATAAGAAAACAACCACGACGGCAATAACAGTAACGAGGACAGCCACGCCGGGGCACTTCCCCGAGTGACAGGCCCGCTTCACGGCCACACGGAGTGAAGCGCAGAAACGACTTCCGACGASAAGGCACCGGGCAATTAAAAGCCAATCACAATAATTACAATAATAGATACACTTCACTCTGTACTTAAGATTCAGTCTCAAAATGGGATTTAAAAATTCTTGGAATTAAAACACAAAGATCTTAATGATGCAAGAAAAAGTCAAAGTTTCCTAGTGCTTTATAAACCGCCGCCTGGCCAGGGCAGGAGTGCGGACCCCGCTGCAGCCCGCGGCCGGGCCCTTCCCGCCGTCGCCCTCTGCGGGCCCACCCTGCCGCAGGGCAGCGCCTCGGTACCTCCGGAGGCTGCTCCTTCTGCTCCCGCGCAGGGTGGCTCCGCGGGGCCTTCTGGGTGTGGGGCTGGAGGCCCCCCCCAGGTCACCGTGGGGGACTCACGCTCTGAAGCCAGCGCCTCCCGCCCGGGCCACGTCCCTACCAGAAAGGGCCGCCATCCTGGTCTCAGAGGCCCCAGTGAGAGTCCTGGCCGCCTCCTGGGGCGCCTCTGCCGAGCCCCGGCCTCAGTCTCCCCATSTGAGCAGCGTGTCCCAGCCCTGCCCTGGCCCTGTGGCTTGGAGACCCTGCAGGGAAGGTGGCGGGCGGGTGGCCTCAGCGCTGCCTCGGGCAGTCAGACCCGAAACAGGAAGGCCCCGCGGGACCAGCTGGCTTCCTCCCCTGACCCTGGGCTTCCAGGATTTGTGACTCAGAGGACGCCACGCGTGCTGGGGGCTCGGCCCTTTGTCCTCAAGCGCTTCCTTCCTTGCCCAGCTCCCAGCCTCCGGTGCCTCCCGGACCGAGTCTAGGCCCCCGCCTAGAACCCCGCCCAGTGCTGTTCACAGGGGGCCTCCCTTGACCATCATAAAACACAGGTGACATAAAACTGACCGACTTGGCATTTTCTGCTGAGAGTTGCCGGCATGGAGCCGGGCGCCCGACCGCTGAGCTGCGCCCCAGCCCTTCTTATTTTTTATTTGAGACAGGGTGCTGCTAAGTGGCAGAGGCTGGCCTTCATCTTGCAATACTCCTGCCTCAGCCTCCACGTGGCCGCAGGGCCAGGCCTGGAGGTGGAACACTCCCCGCCTGTTGGTCAGGCTACTATTCACCCCTCACGCTGTGCAGCCCCGGGGTGTAGGACTGGGCTCCAGAGCTGCTCCCTCTCTTCCTGGAGCAGGTCACTCGCCCTCTCTGKGCCTCACCTTAGTGACATTCCAACCGTATTGGCCTGGGAGGCCTGGTGTCTGGCATGCAGTGGGTGCTCAGTAAGTGCTCACTGTCTTTGGAGGTGAASGCTCTCACGGCACCGAGCGCCCCAGCCAGCGGGCGTGGCAGAGCTCATCTGCAGGCGCTGGACGAGGGGGCTGTGGCCTGACCCGGGACAGCACAGCAGGGGRCCCCAGTTTCTGCCTCTGGAGTTGTGAGGTCACAAGAACAGGAGTGACAAGCCAGCCCAGTCGCTCAACACCCCCCAGGGGCCGGCGGTGACTCTGTGCCCTGTTAACAGATGGGCAGTTGAGGTCCCAAGCTGGGCACCTCAAGAGGGATGTCCTCTCTGGGCCTTGGCTATGCCCAGCCCAGCCCGGGACGTGCCCCCAGGGCCCCGAGGCCTGCCCGTGTGGCCTGGACCCCCCCAGGCCTGTGACTTGAYATGACCCACCGTTCCTGAGCCCCGCGCTGTGCCGGCCTGGCCCGGGCCCCCTGACCCTCTGGGCACCGGCTCCCTCTGCACGGCTCAGGCCTCCCCATCCCTCCCTGCACCAACCCGGTCCCCTCGGCGCCAGAGGACCGCTGTCCCGGGCTGGGTGCTCTCTGGGTGGGTCCCAGCAGGGTGCTGAGGAGTGTCCCTGGCCTCCGCCTCTCCAGCCCCCGTCCTGACAGCCACAAATGTCCCCAGGCCAGGCTGAGTCCCCTGCAGCGGAACCACTGCTGTGTGTCCCTCCGCAGCGGCTGCCCAGTGCCCTGAGGCGGTCCCAGGTCCCCTGAGCTCCCCCCCAGGGCATCTTCACCGAAGGCCACTGCCCTGCCTGGCCCTGCCTGGCCCCAGGCCCTGGGAAGGCGTCTGGGGATCTTGAGTGTCGCCCCTTCCCAGAGTGGTCCCTAGCCCAGCGGCAGCGTCCCGTCAGCCTCCTGATCACCGAGCCCTGTCTCCTCTGTGGGACGGTGAGCCTGGCCGGGCAGGGCTGGTCTGCACTGGCCACTTGTCCCCAGCACTCAGAAGAGGGCCCAGCAGACAGTAGGAGCTCAATAAGTGAGAAAAACAGCAAACACTTGCTACGCGTCGGGAACTGCTGAAGCCTTCAGTCCACGGTTGACGCCCTCAGACACGGGGACAGCTCGCAGGTCCCTCTACAGACAAGGGACCGAGGCCCCGCGCAGGGCAGACACTGCCCAGGCCGGGAGCCTGCGTCGGGGCCAGAGCCCTGGGACACCTTCCCGGCGCAGCACTGGACCCGGGAGCCGGGGGCGTCTGACCACCTGGGGCCACTCACCCGCTGCCCAGTCGCCCCGCGGCCTGCGTTACCAGGGCCCCGGCACCCCCGCCCCAGGGCCATCTGCTTCCCGCCACGAACTTGAGGGGCCTCTGGCAGCAGCCGCCGGTGCCCACCCGCCTCCCGGGCGCGCCTGCCACCTGCCAGGCCAGGGCTGCCCAGCACCTGGCCACGGAGCCGCCAYGGGGCCAGGCCGCAGAGCCACGAAGGCCCAGGGCATCCACTGTGTGTGCTGGGCCCGGCCCGCAGCCCTGTCCCCCGCCCACGGGAGGCACCAGGAAGCAAGAGCCCGTCCAGGAGGCCACCTCGTCCCCCRCCCGAGTCCCACGGTCACTCCAGCTCTGGCACCAGCCACGGCACAGAGGAGACAGCCGCCTGGTGGTGGCCTTCCCTAAGGCCACGGCCCTCACCCCCCCCAGCTCCGTCCCTCCTGGTCCCTGCTGGGGCTCCTGGGCGTCCCCTCTCCCCAGGCCCCTGGGTCTGAGCCTCTCCACCTCGCGCACTGGACACCAGCTGCTGCCCCGGCCTGGCGCCCCGAGTGGCCCTGGTGTCTCTGCTCCGAGCTGCGCCCGGGCTGTGCCCACCCGACACGCCCCCGGCTGGCCGTCCTTGGTGCCCCTCCACCCTGCGCTCCCGGGCCCCAGGACGCCCTCGGGGACCCTCTTCTAAGTTCCAGACAAAGAGGCAGAYGCCTGTGGGTTTCCACGGTCGCGTCCACAGCCTGCCCGGTCCACCCACGCCCAGGGCGCCCACTCTCTCCCCGTCCACTCCTGCCCCGCACACCCAACGCCCGCCCTCCTGGGCGCTCTCCCTGCYGACCAAACGCATCCAGAATCCCGCCCCGCCCTGTCCACTCCCGGTCAGCATCGGGCTCAGCCCTGGCCGCCCACACCCCAGACCGTCCTGGACACCAGAGGGCGCTGAACCCTCGGCCCTCGGCCTCCAGGGCTCCCACCGCCCTCGGGGTCAAAACCCAGCCTCCCGCAGGCCTCAGGGCCTGGCAACCTGCCCGTCCCTCCCTGACCCCTTCCTCCTTCCCCCCTCACTCCCTCTGCTCCAGCCTCRGCCCCGGGCTGCGCCTCCCTCGTGCCAGGCTGAGTCCTGCCCTGCCCTGCTCACAGCCCTGCCATGGCTCCCTAGTGCCCCTCAGGGGAAAGAACCCACCCCCCCACCTTCCTCCTGCCTCACCCCTGCCAGAGGGTCCAGGCCACCTCTKCTCAGCCTGCCCCTCTGCCAGGGGACCTGTCTGGCCTTCCCAAGGCCCAGCTCCTGGGTGCTGTAGCCACACTGTAACCCCAGCGGCTCAGGAGGCTGAGGCAGGAGGATCCCAGGTTCAAGGCCAGCCTCAACAACTTAGCAAGACCCTGAGCAACTCTGTGAGACCCTGTCTCAAAATAAAGAGCTAAAAGGGCTGGGGAGTGGCTAGTGGCAGAGCCGTCCCCGTCAACCCCCAGGCTGCAGAGGACCCAGGCCCGCCCTGCACACGGGGCCAGCGCAGAGGGCCCAGGGCCGAGGGCCCAGCGCAGAGGGCCAGCGCAGAGGGGGGCACATGGGGGGCTGCGGCCTGGGGCAAGAGGGAAGCAGCCATGTAGACAGGGACTGTGGTGTGGACCGGGGCAGGTGGTGTGGACGGGAGGGCACAGGTGGGCGGGGCGAGGGAGTGGCCAGGGCGGGGGGGGGGGGGGCGGGCTGGGAGCCTGAGGGCAGCAGCAGGAGGGTCAGGAGGCGCCTGTCCAGGGAGGCCCGGCTCCTCCCGCTTCTCCCTCGTACCCAGGCCCCAGCTCGGCTGGCCGCGGACTCACTTTATGTCCAGTGACCTTGCTGTGTGACCTCAGCCAAYAGCCCGCCCTCTCTGGGCCTCTGCACAGGATGGTGAGGGACTCGGGGCCCCTGACTCCAGACGGCAGGGGCTCCTGTCGGCCTGGCCCTCCCAGCATCCAGCTCAGGGCCAGGCGTCCCTCGGGGGATCGAGTGACCGGTCCGGCAGCCGKGCCCCTGCGCCACGCAGGTCTGGTTACCGGCTCTGCTTACAGCGGCCCCCCAGCTGCCTCGGTGGCCCCCGTGGCCCCCCGGCCGGGCTCCGGGGCTGTCCAGGAACTTGGCGGGAAGGCCACAGGCCCGGGCCCTGCCCGCCCTCAGCCGTCCCGCCAGCGACGTCCACAGTGAGGGTCCCAGGGGACGTCTCCAGGGCCGTGAGCCCCGCGAGGACCACCCAGCCAACCGCACGGCGCTCTGCAGCCCCGGCCAGACCCTCGCCCTCTCTGGGCTTGTTCCTCCTCCGCAAAATGGGGAGGAGAACTCGGGCTCCCGAGGGCAGGGCCTCCGGCTGGTCTCCACTGTGCCCTCCCACCCCGTGCCCACACGAGGGGCTGACACATGCCAGCAGGGTGTGCGCCCCAGGAAGGGCCYGCTCATCCCAGGGGCCAGGGCGTGTCCACTGCAGGCTTCCTGCACACCCACTGCGTGCCAGGACCCACTGCATGCCAGGACCCACTGTGTGCCAATACGGCAGGGCTTCAGCCTTGACGGGGACATGCACGTCGAGGCTGGGCCCAGAGGCCCTTGGCGGGTAGGAGCTGGCGTCATTGCCACCCCAGGCCTCAGAGACTGGCACGTCAGCCTCATTGTGCCAATGGAAAACCTGGAGCCCAGAGAGGTGAGGCTGCTGGGCTGAGATCACACAGCACGCGGGGAGCTGAGAGCTATCCTGCCTCCCGCCAGCGTTTTGCCGAGTGCTCGCGGGTGCCATCTGTCCTCCGTGGTGGCACAGCCTCAGGAAGCACTTTACAGATAAAAAATGGAGACCGGGGAGGCTGTCCCTGTCCCTGGGCCACTCGGGGAGAAGGGAGACGAGGTGGCAGAGGCAGGACCTCACGTGGGACACCGACAGGTCCCCAGGCACAGGGGGGCCTCCGGTAATTGATTTTAATCACTGTTTGGAAATCGGGCCTCCAGGAGGCAGAGCGGCAGCAGCAGCTCCTAATTAGGAGTGGGGGGGCYGCGGCCATTCAGTGAAATTAAAGTGTCATTTACACCCAGCAGGGAGCTGGGGGGCAGGAGACCCAGGGGAACCGGCACCGGCACCGGGCCGGCTGAGGGCCAGACACCCACAGACCCAACCCTGCAGCCGGGGCCAGGCAGGCGAGGCCGCAGACCCCCTGGAGGGGCCCAGGAGCGGGCTGGGCTCAGGTCTGGGTCCCTGTCCTCAGAGTCCTTGATCTAGGAGCAGAACATAGGGACCCTGACACCCAGCGCCTGGGCCTGGGAGCCCCTCAGAGTTCACCCAGCCACGCRCCCTGGCAGGGGCCTTGTTTGGAAGGACACAGGGATCCCTGAGTGGGCAGTACCCAAACGAGAGTCCTGCAGGGGGACACCTCTGAGAGATCCGGGCGGGGACAGGAGGGGCCCGGCCAGAGCTGCTGGGAGTGGAAGACTGGCAAATGAACTCAGAGAAGACAAAGGCAGGAAACAGGTCCCCAGGGAAGACCCTGGGGTCAGAGTGGACCACAAGTCTGGTGAGTCAGGGCTCAGGAATGGCGAAGCTGGCAGGGTGTTGCTGTAGGATGGGGCGTGAGAACTGTCCCACAGTGGAGAGAAATGGCCAGGAACAGGGGCCCCTGGGGGCTGGGTGACCGCGGGGACTGGCACTCCGAATGCTGCCCTATCTGTGCCGTCACCTGGCTCAGGCCTCACAGGGCAGCCACAGCGGACACTACGGGAGGGCCCTGACCGCCCTCCCAGCCCTGGGCTGCCCTTGAGAGAGGTGCCTCCTTCAGCAGGGGGGCCAGGGCACTGCTCTGCTACTTAATAGGAGAAGAAACTGAGGCCCAGAGTGGGCACCAGGTGAGGCCCGAGTTGCCCAGCCTGGAAGGGGCCCGTCTGGGATTTGAACTTGGCCTGTGTGGTCCAGGACAGACTCCGACCACAGCAGAACCCACCTCGCTCATCCACCAGACCCAGGGCTCAGACCCCACAGAGCTGCCCTGGGGCCACCCTCCTCCCCACAGCCCCTGCCCGGGAGTCCCCAGCCTCCCCAGCCTGCACCAGCTGTCACCTCCCCACCCCTGGTCCCTCCACCTGCACCCCACGGCCTGTGGTCCTGCAGCCGCCGCCAGAGGGCGCCCGTGAGCACCTGAGTCAGGCCCCTCCCTCCTCTGCACACAGCCCTCCAAGGCTCCCACCTCCTTCAGTGTCAAAGCCAARTCCTCCCTGTAGCCCACGGGACCCTGCAGGTCCTGGCCACCCTTCCTTTCCTGCCTCCCTCCTGTCCCCTTCCCCCTGCTCCAGCCACACGTGCTCCCCCCTCTGCCTCCAAGATGCCAGGCTGCTCCTGCCCCAGGGCCTTTGCACAGCTGCATCCTCTGCCTGGAGTGCTCTTCCTCCAGATCCTGGCTGGACCTTCTCCATCTCATCTTCCTGGTCTCAGCTCAAATGTCACCTCCTCAGAGACAGCCTCCCTGACACCCTGAGCTGAACAGCCGCCCCCTCAGCCTGGTCCTCCGTCTGCGGGAGCTCACCGCGGAGACCGGCCCTGTTTATTTCTATGCCCACGGCCCCGCCTGCTGCCGATTCCACAGGGACAGGCCCAGTCTGCCTTGGTGGTGGCCTCTGTTGACAGATGGGGTGCCAGCGAGGGAAGACGGGGGTTCAAGCTCAGGGCAGCTGGCCCCTCTGCTGCCCCAGGGCTCTGACCCGTTGGCCTGCAGGGAAGGCCGGCCAGTCCCCAGCAGGAAGGAGTCCTGCGACTGGCAGAAGGTGGCCTCCTCCCTGCGAACTCCTACACATCCACCGAGGCCCTAGCTGCGAGGCCCTTCTCACGCACTCCTCTTTCCCAACTCCCCAGCCCTGACGCCCCACGGCAGAGGGGCCTATCTGTTCCCCTGCCCTCGTCTGGAAGCCTCTTGAAGGCCGGCCAGACCCCAGAGCTCCGACTCCTTGTCTGGGGTCCAGGTCACACCGACATGGGCCACTGCGGGTGGGGCCTGGGAGCACTGTCCTCCCTGAGGCTGCCCTGAACCCAGGCCCACGAGAACCATGATCCTCCTGGGCTCCAGTTCTGCCAAGTTCCCTCCCAAGTTCGCCCTTGGAGGCCCAGCTGGGCAGGGCCGAGGTGCATCCTGGGACATGTAGTCCTCTGTGGCTGGGCCCAGCTCCCAGCAGGCCCCGGGGCCAGTGGCCAGGGGACACATGTCCACCCAAAGGACTACAGGCGGGGTCCCCAGCCTGCAAAGCCACCTCGTTCTAATGTCCACACCTTACCTGGGCCCCCAGGAGGGAGGTGACGGACACTAAGACCGGGTGGCCCTTCTCAGTGTTGAAGGGCCCCGGGCCGTTCCCAGGACTCTCCTCCTGGACGTGGGCAGGTGCCTGGCCACCCGTGTCCTCAGCTGCCATCAGCCTCAGTCTTCCCGTTGGCACGAGAGGGAGCAGGAACCGTCCATCCAGTGAGGACAGGGCTGCGGGGCCCAGAGGACCACGAGCCGAGGGCCCTCCCCGGGACAGCCACTGTCCCTTCCTGTCCCCGCAGTGGCCGACCTCTGCTCACCGGCTCCGGCAGCCCCCTCAGGACCGCGGCGGGCTGAGTGCTGCCAGGTCCCCTCTCCAAGACCCCGAGTGGCGCCCGAGGACCCCAGGCAGGAAGCTGGAAGCTTTGGGGGCGCATTTCCCACTCTCCCGCTCTTCACAGTCTCCCCCTCAACGTCCGTCCCTGTCCCCTGGCTCATCTTCCACCAGCCCAGGGCCCGTGCCCCTCCAGCCAGCCCAGCCTGTCCCCCCACCAGCACCACGGCCCAGGCCACACCCCAGGGCCAGCTCAGGACACCTTCCCTGGAGATGGGCAGTGACCGGCACACCCTGCATCCCCAGGGACCCAGCTCACCTGCACTGCCCGCTGACGTCATGGTCACCTTCCCAGGGCAGTGGGGTTCTCACCCCCTAGGTGCCACCCCAGGTGACCCCAGCAGATGTGCCTGGAGCGCGGGGTGGCCGCTGAAGACCCGCGCCTTCCCCCAGCCCCAGCCTCCAGCCCAGCACTGACTCCCAGAGACCCGACCTTTCTCACCTCCAAGCAGAAGGGGTGAYGAGGACCCCAGGCCCATGGGTGCTGAGCCCCCGCACAGCAGCTGGGGGCAGAGCCCATCCAGGCCTAAACCCAAAGAGCATCTTCCAGGGAGGCCGCCCAGAGAGGGCGGGTGACCTGCCCGAGGACACAGAGAAGGCTCCTTCTCTCCAAGGCCCAGCCCTAATTCCTGCCATCTGGGGGGTCCAGGCGACCCTGGGCTGGGAAGGGAATGCAAGGGGGTGACTCTGGCTCCGAGGTGACAGAGGGGTGTATCCCCCAGCCCTGTCCAGCTGCTCAGGTGAAGGAGCCCRGCTCCTTCCCTGCTCACCGCCAGCGCCCTGGGCCTCACTGTCCCCAGGTGCTCGGGGGAGCAGCAGGTTCGGGTGGACGTGGACAGCTACCGAGGCTTTCTGCAGACAGCCACCCACTCAGCATCCAGGGCACCTCGAGTGGGTGGCCGTGACCCCCTGCCACTTCCTGGAGCTCTGAGGACCCTTCCCAGATGGGGATGCCCCCAGGACCCCTGGCCATCGCCTCACACTGGAGTCCCCCCTGGAGCCGCCAGCCTCACAGGGAGCAGGGGGCTGGTCTGGGGGGCTGTCCCGGGAGCACTGAGGGGTCTGGAGGCCTTGAGGAGCTGAGGGCGCCCAGAACAATATGAAGGAGTCGAATTTTGCAAATGGGGCTGGGGTCCTTCAGTCAGCCCCCAACTCCTTCCCTCTTGAACTTGACCCCAGCCCCCTCAGAGCTGGAGCACACCCTCCTGTAGTCCCCAACTCCAGGTCCTTTCCAGTCTGGGGGTCACAGAGGACCACCTGGGTGGAAGGTGTCAAAGACCTTAGCCAGAGAGGGCCGGGTTCCGGTGAGGGTCTGCAAATCCGTCCCTCAACCCCAGGACTCTTGCAAACACTCCCAGCCGTGGTGTGGGCAGGTCCGGGCAAGGGTGGGGGTTCACCACAGCAGCGCCCCCTCTGGGAGGTGCCCCAAACTCCCGCAGGCGGAGAGCAGGATTGGGGGGCACGTGACCCCCGCCCCAGGGACCAATCAGCGCCTGCGGGCGGGGGGCCACACTCCGCGCCCCCCACCCAGCTCCGCGCGCCTGGAGAGAGACATTTTCTTTGTCCCTTTGTCAGCTCTTGGGGGGCCCCGAACCCCCAGGCTGCCACTGCAGCAGGGGGGATCCGACTGGCCGGGCCTGTCCCCGCACCGCGGCTCCTCTCCGCGGTCGGGGCCCGGACTCGCTCTGGTCGCGGCCAGGCAGGAGGCCGAGAGGACTCGGGCGCCCAAGGTGCGGCGGCGGGACCGCGGAGCGGGCGGAGGGGCCTCCGCGAATCGGGACCACCGCGCCAGCCCCCGGTCGCCTCGACTTAGCTCTGGGGCCCCGCCCCCCACCCTGCCACCCTCGGGCCAGCAGGCCCCCGCCTGCCAGCCTGCCCCGAGCCCCCCACCTGGGCCCGAATCCAGCTCCCCGCGGCGCAGCCACGAGCCCCCATTATTGTGCCTCCCACGGCCCCCCAGGGACAAAGTCCCCGCCCGCTGCGGTGCCCACAGACCCCTCAAGGCGCCCCACAGGCCCCCGGGCCACAGTCCAGGCCCCCAGCCGCGGTGCCACCAGACACCCCCGGGATGGAGCCTCGCTCGGCGCCCCAGGCCAAAATCCAGCCGCTTCCGCGCGAGGCTCCCGGACGCCGCCGGTGCCGCCCGAGGGTCCCCAAACCCTGCCCCCGCCCCGATGCGCCGCCGCCGGGTCCTCGCGTTCCGGCGCGCCCCGAGCCCGCTCCCGGCCCCGAGCCTCCCGTGCGCGCAGGGCCCGCGGCCCCGTCCCAGCGCCCGCCCGGCCACCCAGCCGCCACCAGCCCCGCGGCTGCCGCCCGCCACCCCCGCGGGCGCCCCCGGCCCCTCGCGCAGACGCCCCGGGGCGCTTACCTCGGAGCCGCGGGGCCGCGAGTGCGCGGGCGGCGGGCGGCGGGCGGCGGGCGGGGGCGCGGGCCGTGCGCGCACCTGTCCCGCGGCCGCTCAGCCGGGCATCCCGGGGGGGGGGGGGCTGCTGCTGTCCGCCCGGCCGCGCGCTGGCTGGGCAGGGGGCTCAGCCCCGGCCCCCCGCGCGCTGGCGTCGGCTCCGGGGGGGGCGCTGCGCGGCGGCCGGACCGGGGGCGCGCCGCGGCCGCATCTCCATCTCCTCCGCCGCCGCGGCGGCCGCTGCGACTCGCGGCTCCGCCACCTCCGCCCCCTCCCCGGCGCCCCCCACCGCCCCGAAGCCCGGCCGGAGCCGCGCAAAACCCGGCGCGGAGCCGCGGCGGCGCGGAGCGGAGGGCGGAGCCGCGTGGGGGGCGCTGCGGGAGGGGGCGGCCCGAGGGGTCACCCTGCTGTTGTCCAGGTGGTGGGCTCCGGTTTTCTGCCCCGGCTTCCTCTGTTCCAACTTGCATCCCCAATCAGAGCCGCGGGCATGGACGCTGGGTGGATGCAGTCACCTCGTGGTCTGGATGGCCCCCAGCATGAGTGAGGTCACTTATTCCATCCACAAGCTTTCCCGTTAGCAGCACTCACTGGACATTGAGGAAACTGAGGCACAGGGAGGTGTCTGGACCAAGGTCACCAATAGAATGAGGACTTGAACTTCAGCAGGTTGGCTGCAGGGGTCTCTAAGGTACACCCCTCTGGACCCTGGAAGCTCTTCCTCCSTCCCAGTGCCCACGGGGTCTGGCTAGAGAGGGCTCTCTGGGGGGTCAGGTCCCTTCTGCTCCCAGGGAGCTCTCTTGTCCACTGTCCTTGAGATCCCAAGACTGCATTGGGGTTTCATTGACCTCCCTGGCCCTCTGTCATCAGGAGGGTAGGGACGTCACCGAGTGCCTCAGTTTCCCTCATAGATCAAAGCACCTCCCCATGTGGCCGATTGGGAGCACCCCCCTGGGCCGGTGCTGGGCTGGTCCTCAGCATCTCTGGTGTGCAGCTGGTGTCCCCAGACACTTGACTCTTGTGTACTTAGTGACATTTCTTGCAGAGCCGCTGTGTGCTAGGGCCACCATGGCTCCCCATGTGTCCAGAGCCTTAGACCAGTGTGTGCTGACTTCCCAGTGGCCACACGGACTGAGCCCTGGTCCGGGTCCCTCTGGCCCTGGGCAGACTGCAGGCTCCCGGTGTCCATGGAGACAGCCCTGGTCTTGCGGCTCAGGGTGTTCCTGGCCACTGGGGCGACCACAACCTCCAGGCAGCAGGGCCTTCCCGGCTGCTTTCCGGCGGCCCCAGCCTCCCAAACAAATTAGCCACAGCACCTGTGTGCGGGCAGCCCGCTCCCGTCCTGCCCTGGGCAGACCGAGGCCTGTCAGGCCAGGGGGGTGCCACCCAGCACCTCTGTTTTCCGGCTGAACTCACATCCCTGTGCTGGGCAGGCCCAGGCACCCCCTCCTGCACCTGCGGCCCTGGGCCCAAGGGGCAGTTCTGCACTCCATTCATTCAACAAACATTTATTGAGTGCCAAGTGTGTGCCAGGACCTGACCTGGGCAATTGACAAGACTGCCTTCAGCTTACAGTGCAATCAGGAGACAGAAAACCCCAGGGCTGGGAGATCAAGGGCAGACTCGGGTCCAGACCGGCACTGCGGGCGCCTGGGGCCCAGGAAGCCTGAGGGGGGCGGGACACTAGAGCTTTGGAAGGGTCACAGACAGATGTGGCAAAGCACAGGGGGCGCGGTGGGGGTGCTGTGGGAAGGGCGGGGTAGGCAGAGACCTGCTGGGACAAAGGCCCTGAGGGAGGCCCCACCCCCGCGGCCAGCTCAGCTGCCACCCAGGCTGGGCGGCCATGAATGGGTCTTTCATGCCCTGGACCAGGGCAAGGTCAGGCCGGGCTGCTCGCTCCCCCCGCCCGGGGCTCCTGGCTGTCTGCGACCTGACCTGGAGGGGGGTGACGGAAGTTCACTGCTCGCCCTCAGGGTGAGCCCGGGAGGCCCAGTGAGGGGCAGGCCTAGCCCGAGGTCACCGGAGCCAGCAGCGTCCCCCTAGTGGGACTCTGGGGAAGGCCCCGCCCCCTGGGCCTCAGTTTCCCCGGCCTGGGCGGGCGGCCTGCGCAGCGTGGAGCTCCCGTCCCGCTCCGGCCGGAGCGATTCCAGTGCGGGTTTTGCGGGCGCCCGCGGCTCCTGACACCTTCTTCCCAGCGCGGCCCGGCAGCGGCCCCGGGTCCGAGGGGGCCCGGGGACACCCGGAGGGGGCTGATGGCCCGCGGGGCCCCGGGAGGGCTGCGGCCGGCCGGCTCCTGGCGCCCGCGCCCGCGGGAGCTCAGCCCCGCCCCGCGCCCGCGCTCGCCGCCCTGCTGTGTGCCTCCCGCAGGTCYCTGGCCCTCTCTGGGCCCGGCTGCAGCCACACTGGTGGGCAGCCTCTTGGAGGGGTCACCTGGGTCCCCCTCCTCCCAGGTCCCAGCCTCGGTTTCTCCCGCCGGCTGCGTGCACTCTGGAGCCCAGGCCGGGGGTCTCCGYGGCTCTTGGGGCTGGGTCGCCCCCGGGTCCGGCTCCGGCCAGGGAATCCCCCGGGGCTCGGAAAGGGCAGCTCCGATTGGCTGAGACCGCGTGTGACGTCAGGGCCTCCCCGACGCCCCCTCCCCCCGAGGCACGTGGGGGAGGCGATGGGGGGAGGGGCCGGGGTCGCGGGGACTCGGGTGTCCCCCGCCGGAGCTGGCAGCTGGGCGGCGCAGACGCGATTCTCCTCGGACAGGTTTCCCCTCGTCCCGAGTCCCCCTCCGGCCCCCCCAGCGCGGCAGCTGCTCGGCGGCAGATGCGCCAGATAAATCCGCCCAGCTGGTCCCTCCGCGAGCTAACCGCCCGAGCCCGGGGTGGGGGAGTCGGTGGTCTGCTCCAGACCCTTCTCTGCTGTCCGACCTCTGCCCCCTGCCCCCTTGCGGGCCCGAGGGGTCGTCTCGAGGACCTTTCCTAAGCTCCATTTCCCTCCTGGATCTTTGGAGAGGATTTGGGGGAACTGGTGCCCAGAGAGGGTATAGCCCTCTCAGAGAAGGCACAGCATTCCCGAGCCTGCTGCCCAGAAAAATACCCTATATTGTGTGCATATTAATGGTGAGAATGATGAGCTAGCATGTATTAGGTTCCTACTGTATGCAGGGGCAGTCCTCTAGAATGGAACTACAGCTATGATCCCATATTCAAGTGGCAACTGGGGCCTGGGGACCAATGGCTGGGCTTGGCTGGCCGCACAGCCAGAGAATGGTGCAGTCACTCTTGGACCCCAGGGTTGGGGCATAACGTCTGGGTCTGCGGGGTCTCCTCACTTGGGGGACTCTTAAGACCTGGGATGTAGCAGGAGACAGAGAGCTGCCACCAACACCTCCTGGTCCCCTGCCTGGGTGCCCTGGGGCCTGACTTGGGCCCTCCCTCTCCRTTGCCTCATCTCCATCCTGGAGCTGTGGAGGACGGGGCCTTCCTGTAGGAAAAGGCCGCAGCCGCATTCTGAAGCATCAGGGACACCGTAAGCACCGGGCAGCCTTCGCTGCGCCAGGGCCTTTGCACTGGCTGCCCCCCCCGCCCAGCCTCCTGCAGTCTCCAGGGAGCTCCTGCCCTCCAGTCTCAGCTCAGCTGTCACCTCCACTGGGGGACGCCCACCCCACCTCCCAGTTACAGCCACTATAGTCCCTGGCTCCTGCTGGGTGACCCTCGGGTGTCTGGAACAGCACCTGACACACAGTGGACGCCCCATGGGTGATTGCTACCTGGGAATCTCAGGGGCAGGGAGCTGGGGGCAGGACAGAGGCAGCCGTGGGTAGGCCACAGGGCAGCTTCGCTGAGTCCCCTCCTCCTGCGCCTCCAGCACCACGGGCCTGCTCCCTCCGCGGTTCCTCCAACATCAGGCCAGTCAGGCTCCCTCTGCCTGGGTGCTCTCCCCATCCCTCAGGGCTCCCGGCTCCGTGCACACGTCCCTGCAGCCCTCCTGTTGGAGTCCTTTGCTGAAYGTCTCGGCCCTCGGGACCCTCCTTACCACGGGCAGCTTTCAGGGCCTGGGTCTGCCTCGGCCTCTGCTGTGTCTGGGGACCTAGAACAGGGCTGGCATGTAGTCGGCGCTCCACAAGTGTGTGTGAGTGGACGGACAGTGGATGGCGAGGGTCTGAGCCCAGGAGCCTGGGGGGGCCTCGTTTATGGAGGGGAAGAGGCCAGGAGGCAGGATGAGGCCAGGGTCACGGCTCTCTTCCTCCGCAGAGCTTCCTCTCCAGGAGTGAGCAGGCGTGTCCAGTGAAACCACCACCTGGAAAGCACACAGTCAGCACCTTCTGTGTGCCCTGGACACCTCTGGAGCCAGGGCAGGGAGGGGGACTCAGGACTCCGGCCCCAGGACCCAGACCAGGCTTTGCCRCTGGCCGTGAGCAGATGGGTGACGTGAGCCCGTTTCTAAGCTGCACAGCACACAGTAGGTGCTTGATGAAGGTGGTCTCCTGCTCCCGCTGCCCGCGGGTTCTGAGGCTCTGCCTTTCCCCTGGTTCCCGCGCCTCCCTCCCTGGGAAGCTGTGAGGCGCTCCAGCACCCGGAGGCGGTTCAGGTGAGAACACAGACGGCCACTGGACAGCAGAGACCGCCACCGGACAAACACTGCCGCTGGACAGCTGCTGGCCACCGGGGTCCGTGGCATTACCTTGAGGGCAGCAGCAGCCTGAGTGTCCACTGAGGGGTGAGCACCGTGGACACTCAGGCTGGTCCATCGACACCAGGGAACAAGGGACACCTGAGGACACGGTGCTCAGTGCCCCGGGCCAGACAGCAGGACACGGGCAGGGTCAGCCCAGGAGGCCCAGGGTCAGAGCCACAGAGATGGGAGGCCTGTGGGAGCCGGGCTGGGAGGGGACGTGGGGGCAGAGCCCGGAGGGGAAAGCCCTGGAGAAGGTGGTGCCGGCCCGACCCAGGCTCAAGACGGTGGCCCTGGTGAGTGCTGTGCTGTCCCTGGGCTGGGTGAGGGACAGGGCGGAGGGAGTCGGAGCCTGTGGAGAGGAGGGGCGAGGAGCGCCTTGAACAACCTCACTCTCACCTCCTGGCAGTGCCACCAGGGCCAGCCGCACAGGTGACACTGGCGTCACCCTCGCACCCTTCAYGCGGCACCTGGATGAGCTCAGCCTGGGCGGAGGGGCCCAGGTCCTGCCTGGTGACCGACCGGGCCACCCGCCTTACTGAGCACCACCGCCGTGGCCCTACCAGGACGCCTGGGGACACCCCGTCCAGGCACAGCTCCATGGGGCGGAGGCTGAGTCGTGGACCAGTGTGGGCCCATGGAGCTCTGGCCATCAACTCCGCCGTGCACAGGAGACAGAGGGCCTGGCCCAGGGGCTGCTGCCCAGGGAGGCAGGCAGGGGACGGAGGTGTGTTCTGGGTCGGAGATGCTGCGGGGCCAGGAGCCGGAGCCCACCGCAGGCACCCAGGGGACTGGCTGGGAGGTGGCCGGGGTCTGGCCAGGGCAGAGGGGAGGGAGGACGTGAGCTGGAATACAGGGAAAGGGAGCCCCAGGCAGGGAGCGCG